GGTTAGTAATTGGTCTGTTGCCTGGCTTTCCATGACAGTGTCCTGGCCAACAAACCTCCAGATAAATTGGTCACTCACTTCATGGCTTCTCATGGATCATTGCTGTGCACAAATCATCTGCCCGATCACCTACAAAATATACACAATCATGACACAGTAAATCCTGTGAAATGTTTTGAGACATCCTTCCAGCACGAAAAGCGCTATGCCATATGGAAAAATTATTAACTTCTGTAGTTAATCCCTATTCTGTGAAGCGCTTTGAGATGTCTAGAAAACGTGATAAGGAGCTATATCAAATGCAAAGATTATTATTATGTTGTGAGGTAAACAGTGGCAACTCAAACACTGTAAGTCGCATGGTTAATTTCAGTTTCTATTAAAGACTTGTGTAAGTATTCAAAAGAAATGTGCACGGTTCTATTATTTGTTTTGTACTTGACATACACTCTGTTTTTTTACACTGCTTCAATGTATAAAAAGGTCCATCTATATTATGGCGCAAACCTTTAAATGGCTGCTCCCAGTCGAGGGAATAGTGATGTCAGCCGGTATGCAGTTACAAGCAGTGGGATATGAGTCATCTAATAAGTTTCTGTTAGAGCAGCCAAATACGGTACTATTAATCCAGAGACCACAAATGGAATTGAAATATACACTTTCCTGCTTCAACAGATCGAAGGCTGTCAATGCAGAAGAACAGGTGGTTTGGTGCTGCTCTGCTCCCCCCCTGTCTGACGATGCAAAGCTTTAACTGTTAGAATGCTGCCCTCCTCTCCCGAGTGTTGGTGGGGCTGATTAAACGAGGAAGAACGTCAGAATCAAGGAATGTATACAGCAGCCACAGCTTACAGTGCCACTCACGTAACAGAAATGCCTCAAAGCACTTAACCGAATGAAATTACTTAGCAATTAAGTGAATGTTATGTCGGGAAAACGTGCTACTAATTGGCTCCCAGCAGCATCGCAGAAATACCATTGGGATAAATAACCGTCTAATTAGAATTTTTGTGGTGAGTTTGAACGAGAAAGGGGTAGGAGGGTTAAGGGGGAGGAAATGCCTTTACATACCTCATGTCCATCTCAATCACAAAGCCTAACCTAAACTATTAACTCCCCGATGATCTAGAGATACATAATAAATTTGTGATTTGTTATTACTGGATCCTTAATAAGGAATACAAGTTGGGTAACTGGGAGGGAATCATTCTAACTGTGGGATCAATTGAGTGAGTAAAAGTGCACAATGCATATGCGTGCGTGAGCAAGCGCACTAATATCCTCGCAAACAGCGCCTTTGCTCCACCAAATTCTGCACACCCTTTGCCCCAGGCTCCATTGTCTCTCAGCGGATCAACTTCAAGGTCCTTACCCTCAAGATCCCCCGTTCCCTGGCACCCCAATATCTTCTATCCTAACTCACGATTACTGCATTACCACTCTCTCTGCCAACATAGGTGGCTTTTCCTATCCTCTGGAGCTCCTTTCTACCACACCACTCTCTTTCTGCCTTTTTTAAGTCCCACCTTAATTCCTCCTTCTTCATGTATGCCTTTGTCTTCTCTATAAAAAGGACACTGGGAAAAGAGCAAATTGATGTGGTTATGGTTGTCACATTGGAGAGTGCTTTGAGTTGAGAAACAATAAACTGAACAACACACCAGTCCATGCTTTGGCGGGCGCCTGCTTACAAACAGGGCTTAGTTTAGAAACCACTTAATTGGAGGATTATGAGCAGTGGAATTTTTAAAAATCATGTCCAATGGCCCGAGAGCCTGGGTGAGCTTGCTGCAGCTGCCACAGTGAAGATGCTGAGTTTTTATAGCAATACACTAATTTTGCTTCAGGGATTGTAAATGTGACTGTGGACGTTTGGGATCTTTGACAACAGCAGCTTGCGTTTATAGAGCGCTCTTCACACGGCGTAACGTTCCAGAGCACTTGACAGTGGCGGAGTCTGACACCGGAAATGCATGCGTCTCCGACTTACCTAATTCCAGAAAATATCAGGAGCATGTTGGCAGGACCCCGTGTTGTGTAACTGCTGGAATCTAACCAGCAAAAAGAACAGTTCTGTTGTCTCAGTTTTGGTCCCACCACAAGAGGTCACTTTTGAGTACATCACCTTGTATAGACTTTCTCGTATTTAAGAGGTTGCGATGGTCAAATTGTCAATAGGTGTAGCTCATGACGTTACTGAGCACCTGTAGCAGATTACCTATGTTTTACTTGGCAATTTGTTGGGCTTTTCTCAGAATTTAAACTTTGATCAATATTTTGTTTCTAACAATATTTTCCTACGTTGTGAGCGGAACGAATCCTGCAGGCAGCCTCCACTGTGCGGGGTGGTAATGGCGGGGGCGATGGGTAAAAAGGAGAGACTGCAGATCTATACATGTGAGCACTAGATTAGATTGGACTAACCCTTTCCCAGTATGTAATTGTGGAAATGTTTTTGTAACTCTTGCTAGACTGGATCAAGAGGGACTCTGAATTAATTACTTCTATTATTTCCCCCCCGCATCAGATGATCGGTTTAGCCTAATAAACACCGAGGAACAATATATTCAAAGAATGACAATAATTTAGTCATTCAATCCATGACTGTTTGTGGGACACTGCTGTGCGCAATTGGCTGCCGTGTTCAGCCAACAAAATATACAGTCAATTCACTTTATAGTATATTCTATAAAGTGCTTTGAGGCGTCTCGAAGACGTGATAAGGCGCGATATCAAATGCAAGGATTATTACTAATGAGGGAAGCTACACTGAAGGTAAAGGGTCTCATATTAAACTGTGACTCTGGTGACGTAATATCTTGACAATAATGTTCCTTGAGATACCATTACTGCTGCTACACACAGGCATTGTGTACAGATAGCTCCCTGGTACAGATAGATCTGTTTTACTCCTGTTACACACCAGATTATCTTGATTATGAAATTGATAAGATTCTGCCACTTAATAATATTGTGTTATTTGCTGCATTTATTTTTATTTATGTTCAATATTTGGAACATTATATTACAGCAAATCAAATTGACTAAAATCTCACTGAAAGAAGACATTACTTTGTATAATTAATCTCTGGTTTCATAACTAATAAATCCCAAAAGAATTGCTTGTGTCATTGACTGGTTGTAATAATAATCCTTGCATTTGACACAGCGCCTGTTACATTGAAAGCTGTCAAACAAATTGAAGCCCAGTGTGTTTTTCTAACCTTACAGCAAAATGTGGTAAGGGATTACAAATCGGCTACTGTGGTCACTCTGATGGCATGAGCTCAGATTCACTGTTTTAGATAAGAAAATGGGTACAATTTACTGTCATTTCAGTCAGTTGACTATTAGACCAAAGTCCTGTATAATTGCACAATGGCTACTTTGACAAAGTATTTTTAATATTACCAAACAAATGCATGTTTTCTTCATATTGCGGAATCACGAAACGTAAATGGAAAATCAAACCAAACTTGTCAGCTTGCTTCATGCTTTTTTAATGATGCATAAAATGATCGTAACCTGGAAACTTTTATTCTTCAAGTAGAGGGTGAAAGGTTAAACGGAGGAAGAGAGCTTGCCAGATCTGCAGCTCTTTGATTCAATGTGGTTTTCGTTACCCACAGGATCATGTCACACAGGGCAGATAACTTCCTTTTAAATTGTCGCATAGCACATTTTGGTTGAGGTGGTAACGAAAAGTTAAAAAAAAATAATGAAGCCAATAACTTAGGATCTGCCCTGAAAATATCTGTAAAACACACTATTCAAAATGTGTGCGATCGAGTGTTAACCCTTTGAGGCCCTCGAGGAAAAGTGTTCCAATGCCTCATCTGAAAGACAGCACTTATAATGATGCAGAGCTGCTCTGCCCTGTACTGTACTGGAGTAACTGACTAGGCTCAACTCCTGACATGGGGTTTGAACCCAGAACTATCTGGCACAAGTGCTACTAACGGAGTGTGAACATTAATAATAATAATAATAATCCTTGCATTTGATATAGCGCTTTTCACGTCAGGAGGACGTCCCAAAGCGCTTCACAGAACACACTGTAAAGTGAATTGACTGTATATTTGTGGGCGAACGCGGCAGCCAATTGCGCACAGCAATGTCCCACAAACAGTCGTAGATTGAAAATGACCAATTTATTATTGTTTTTGTTTTTGGAGGGATTATTAAAGCTGTTATTTGTGTTTTGATTTCTCTTCTGAATCTTCTGCATTGTTGCTTCATGACTGTTCTGCAGCCCCCTGTGTGGGAGCTCAGTGTTCAGCTCCATTTCATCACTGACAGCAGTTGACAATATTATCAGTAATTTGGCGACATAGCCAGTTGTGGTTTCCAGATCCCCTTGTGGAGTCATGGAGGTAAATATTCCCATTAGTTTCATCACTCATACAGGAAAAGAGGAATTATTTGGGCCAACATAGCATGGTGAGTTTAGATTATTGATAGTGAATGGATGGATGAATGAATGTTGGGTGAGCTCAGGATAAGCTTTTTATATAACAATCCTTGCCTTTGATATAGCTCCCAATTTGATATTGAGACGTCGCAAAGCACTTCACAGAATATATTGTAAAGCGAATTGACTGAATTTTTGTGGGCAAAATATGGCAGCCAATTGGGCCCAGCAGAGACCCACACAGACCACAGTCAGGTTCTTCACCAAATCTACAACAGCTTCTAAAGATATTTCTGTGACATTACACAAATTCCACTTGGCTGTAGTTTTACATTCCTTTGAATTCTTTCCTCTAATTCCAGCTGGTTTTCCTGGATGTCAGTGAGTGACCTTTTCTCATTTCAAAGATTCCTCCAATACTTCCCGTGTATAAGCAAGGAGGAATTTAATCTCAAACTCTGAAGAGTGTTACACTTTGGTTTCAGTTGGTATTTTATATATAGCGCTATATCAAATGCAAGGATTATTATTATTATTATTATGCCTATTACCATTAATTATTTTGTCTTGTTTGCTCCTTTTGTTGTAGCTATTAGAGTACGTTGGCAAAGGGAAGAGCATTATGGATGTGGGTCTCGCTCAAGCAAGACATGCGCTCAGCACCAGAAGCCATTACTTTGAAGTAGAGATCATTGACCCCGGTGAAAAATGCTACATTGCCCTTGGTCTGGCCAGAAAGGTAAGCAGCACAAACAGGGCCTTTCCCCTTCTATTATTCCTCAGTAGGTTTCTGAACTAAACAAGATGAAGGATGTAATTCTGACCAGCTTGGTAACAATGTCCTCATCAGGTGTGACTAATCCTGGGGTCGACCCTAGTTGAACAGTTTAAGAGGTGACCTTAATTAAAGGTCTTCAAGATTATGGAAGGTTTATGTATGTTTCTCCAGTGTTGTTGAATGATTACTGCAGCCCTCACTGCAAATGCTGTTCACGTTGCTTGTTTAGTTGGATATTGGCTGTTTGTGTCAGTTGAGGTTGAGAGTACTTTGGTCCAAAATCCCCTGTAGTCTTAGCCATTTTGTCTCAAAATTTAAAATGGTACAAAACTGTGCAAAATGTCTAAATTCAGTATTCAATTTAAATCTGTTTTATTCTTAGAAAGATTACTTCTAAATTAAGAATGATTGTAAGAATTTTCCACAATTCTAAGAGAAGATAATCTCCCAGAATAAGTCAAGGTGACATTTCTCTTTATTTGGATGTGGATTGAATCTATTCAAATAAACGTCAGTTCAGACTTAAAACCTTCACTGATGACAACGCATGATATGTTTTAAAATACTGTATTTTATTTGAAAAGTATTCACTGACGTTGTTTTGCTTCAAATGCAAGGACTATTATTCCATTAATTTGTGGACAAATACATTTAAAAATTGTTCCAGATGCTCGAGCGGGTTTATTTACAATCCGCAAAATTGTTTTGGAAAGTTCCACAACGTTGCCGAAGGCATGTGTATCTCTTATCACCCAGATCGCAGACGCACTTTATCCATCTGCCATTGAGAAATACACCAGTTGGATCATGGCAGCAGCTTGTGTTATATAAACCCGCCTTTTTTCTACCATTCTATAGAGTTTGGCTTTAAACTCGTCTTTTACTCATTCATGTGCTCACATCTTTATTTCACTGAGTCGTTCATTCAATTCTGTTTCTGAACGACAACAACAAAGTTACATTTGTATAGCGCCTTTCACGTTGGGAGGACGTCCCAAGACACTGCCTTGGGACATCCCACAAAATAGAGTTACTTAGGGTATTACTATTACTTATTCTATTGTGAGTATTCTATTGGTGTCATCAAATCAAAGTTACTTTCACAACATCAAGTTAAGAAATAGTTATAGTACCACATCATGGTCTTTCACCCATTACAATAAATCAATGCCAATAAATCAATTCCCTTTGTTTGCTTGGAAAGCTTGTTTGGGAATTGAACCTTCATACCAAATAAACTTTACATCAGAGGTTGCCTGCTCCTCAGTATTAAAAATGACTTAAAAAAATCAGACTGCAAATATTAAATGGTTCAATTCCCAGCAGGGTGAAACCTTGGGCAAGTTCCCTTACTCCACACACCTGATAATAATCCCTCAAGAAAAAAACAAAAATAAATTGATTACTTCAATCATGACTGTTTGTGGGATGCTGCTATGCGCAATTGGCTGCCGCTTTTCACCCACAAATATATTCACTTTACACGATATTCCGTGAAGCGCTTTGAGATATCTAGAAGATGTGATAAAGCACTTTATCAAATGCAAGGATTATTATTATTATTATTAACAGTGTGTCCGGTGAAGCACTTTGGGACATCTCGAAGATGTGATAAGGCGCAATATCAAATGCAAGGATTATTATTATGATTATAAATAATTTTATTAAGGTTTTCCAATTTTGATTTCTTTACTCTCTCTTTACCTTCTTTTTTGAGATTTTCTTTTCTACTCCATACTGGCCCTTAGTTAGCTAAAGAGAAAATAAAATTGGTCATTCACTTCAGCGCTATTTGTGTAACCTTGCTGTGTGCAAATGAGATACCATGATAGCACTTAACAGTGGCGGAGCCTAACTCTGAGCCGGAGGCTCCATAAGCATGGTGGAAGAGGAAAATTTTCAGGTGGACTTGAAAAAGGGGAAAGATGGGGCAAGGCGGAGGGATAGTGTTCCGAATACACAGTCACTACGCATTTCAGTAAAATCCTGTGAAGCACTTTGAGACGTCCTCCCACCATGGAAGGCGTTATACCAAAGTGCAAGGATTTTTTATTTTACTTATGAAAGCAAAATCAGTGTGGAGCTTGTTATCTAGAACTATAAGTAGTTGGTCTCTTCCATTTATAGTAATAATATTTTTTTTGGAAGGATTATTACCTCTGGAAAGTGATCTGCCAATCGACTAACAACTAAGTTCCTAGGTAAACAGAGGCGTGGAGTAAGGAAACTTGCCTAAGGTTTCGCCCATTTAGTCCATACATTTCTCCACATTTCATGGAGCTAAATGAGACTTCTTTTACACGTTTTGTCAGCTTTCCCTCTGGATATCCAGTACCTCTGTGTGGAGGTGGGACAAGGCAACAAGGTCCCAATAATTGAATGTAGAGCCCAGAAAAGCAGATGTTCAAATATGTTCCATGTTATAGTTTCTAAAACAGTTTAAATTGCGTGAGAATGTGAATGGAAGCAACATGAGTTTTTTGGGATTTTGCCTGATGCTGCGTGAGGAATCTCAACAGTGCTTGGAAAAAAAATGTCAGCCTGGCGTGGGGGAGGTTTTACAGCAATTCAAGTGATCATCATACTATCTGTCTAGGGCGGATTCCAACCCGTCTCCGAACCCTGGAAGGTGGCACACACTGTGGTATTAATTCCAGCCCTTGTTGGAATGTGACTTTTTACTCTGTCGTGAGATGTGGAAATCAGACACAAGTAAATTACTGACAGCACACGAGATCCTACAAACTATTCCATCAATGGCCGTCGATTTGCTATATTCGTGTAATCCCACTGTTGCCTCAGAATCCATAATTAAGCATCTGTTTCCCATTTCAATTAGCCGTCTATTGATGTTGCTTGCATTGGGTTGGATCTGCAGCAACAAGCTCTCTTGCGTTGCATTCGGGATTTTACATTTTTTTAAGAAATAGCCATGAGGGCAGCAAGTTTGCCTTTACTGTTTTAATGCAATAGAAGACGTATCTCACCTGCAGATCTCTGAGGCTCGTAATATCCGTCTGTCTTTATCGTCGAAACAATCTTTGCTTTTGGATCACAACAATCAGTGTTTAAGATGAGAGGGCGATGTTGTAGTAAAGTATTTGTGGCAATTCTCTCAGGTCCTTCCAATAGGACAGTGTTGCTGATGAAAAAGTAAATGAGCTTTGGACTATTTCTAACCACAAGTGAAAGGATGCCATTTATTGAAAAAAATTTGTCCTGATCATATCGTGCTTTCCCATTTTCTGCTAAATGCCTCCGCTTATTTGCTAGAATTACAGCATAAAGTTTTACATTAGGGAAAAATACAGCAGGCTACTTTTTTGATATTGAGGCCGAGGTAGACAATGCCCACACCTGGCACCAAACATGGACACTTACAACAGATCCCACTTAATAGCGATCATTGCATTATAGGGAGGGTTTGAGGAACAGAAGAAGGCCGTATCATTGCAGGATAATGAAGTAAGTTTCAAAAATGTAAGAGGGAGAAAATGAAGCAAAGGATCCAGGGATGTGATGGTCAAACCTTGAGCGCCTCATTGTCTCAACAGAGGAAGCAGAGTGGCCTGAAAATGATCTTAAATATTGAGGGCACCACCAGGAACTCCACTTCCCATTGTTCTCCATGGAGTCTTTGCTGCACAGAGCAGTCTAGAGGTCTTGGGGCTCAAGATGTCGTTCATCAAAACGCGGATTGCACTGGCCCGCTTCCCTGTGAGGCGCTTTGCTCTCTGTTCAGCCAAGCTGCTATTGCTAAAAGCCCAGAAATCAATGCAGATGTCACCATTTTTGATATTCTGCCCATGAAATTAAAGTCTGACTGTTCTTTTCCATGCACGTATGCCAAATGCTAACATTCTTTGCCGTGAAGTTTAAACCTTTTGGGTCCTCAGCTAAAGTTTGTTAGGGGGCAGAAAGGAAAGAGCACGAACGAGAGTGAGAGAGAGAGAGAGAGAGAGAGAGAGAGAGTAAAGATTGCTCAAAACATGGAATTTACTGTGGTGCTAAATTGGTTAAACCAGTTGAGTTCAGATTTGAGTAAAATACGGTCATAATATATAGTTACCTATCAATAATAAATGTGCTAATGAATAAGCAGGGATCGTGGCTGCTTGGGTTCTGTGATGTTTAGCCTTGGGCTGGTTTGTGGAAGACACTGTCCTCTTTTGTTCGTTCTTCTGTAGACTGAATAAAGAAGCTGAAATCAAATCTGTTTAAACATTCCTTTTGGCCTAGCTCAGCTCCATCTTCATGTTCTTCAGTTTTTTGTGCAGAGTGAAAGTTGTTGTACTTTGCAAAGTAAGTTTTTTTTTGTTTGCCCCACACATAGACACTTTGAAAAGTAAAGTGGAACTTTTGGAGCTTTGTGTGGTATGAGCATCAAAGCTGTTGTATTCTCTCTGCCCAACAATGTGCCTCAGGCTCAACAGCAGAGTAGCATTCCTTCTGCATGTGGCATTTTTCATTTCCTGCACAGGCATCCTGTGGCTCCTCTCTTTGTCAAACTTCCTGTGAAAAGATAAATCTTCTTGGTGGATGGGATTGTCTTCTGTATCTTCCAGTGTCTAGATTGTACATCACTTGTTTCCTATATATCACAATAATAATCATAATTAACCCTTGCATTTGATCCAGCGCCTGATCATGTTGTTGAGATGTCTCAAAGCGCTTCGCAGAATATACTGTAAACTGAAGTGACTGTATATTTTGTGGGCAAAACGCGGCAGCCAATTCTAGCATAACCTTCTATTCCTTTATCCCTCATGTACCTATCTAGCTTTCCCTTAAATACATCTGTGCTATACATATCTATGCTTTACTTTCAGATCTTTGCCAACAGTCTCACAGTGCATTTCTAGCCTGTCTGTCTGTCTGGCTGGCTGACTGGCTGGATGGATGGCTGGCTGGTTGACTGGCTGGCTGGCTGACTGGATGGCTGACTGGCTGGCTAGCTGGCT